CACTTTTAAGTTTGTGGAACAAACCTACCAAAGTTCCGAAGTGAGAGACGCAGTTAAGCGTCTAAAGTGTGTTAAGGCTCCTGAGGAGGACAATATTACCGCTGGCATTCTGTAGGTTGGGAGGGGGGGGGGGCTATTGCCAAGATGTTCACGAGGCTGTTCAGCATATGCATTGAAGATGTCAAGTTCCGCGCAGCTGGAAGAATGCATCGGTAATCATCCTCCACAAAAAAGGAGACAGCTGATATGAAGAATTTTAGGCCGATCAGCCTCTTACCAGTAACGTACAAAGTGTTTTCACAAATCATACTTCAAAGAACGCTAAGCAGCTTGGAACAACATCAACTAAGAGAGCAAGCAGGCTTCAGAGTAGGATTTTCTACTACTGGCATGATCACATTCAAGTTCAGTTTTAAAACCAGCTACTGGAGAAGGCAAACGAGTACAAGATCCCACTCTGTTTTGCCTTCCTAGATCACAAGAAGGCCTTTGATTCCACCGAGTTCAGAGCACCATTCAAGGCATTAGAGAATCAAGGAGTTGATCAAGCTGGGTGAGGACAAAACATGGACCAGAAGTCCATGGTCCCCCACTTTGGACCGGGTCCTCGGACCACTTTCATGGACCGGGTCCATGGACCCCCTGTCATGGACCGGGTCCATGGACAGATTTTTTTTAATAATGAGAAATGAACAAAAACAGAAATAGTGCAAAAATAAGGTTAAAAAATAACAACAACAACAAACAATGCTTGATTGATCAGTAATGTTTAATTGTGCTTACATAGTGTAAAAAATAGGGGGGGTCGGTACTTCATGCCAAAATGCTGCTTGTTCCAATGAATTGTTTTCTCTGATGGGTAGATTATGCTTCGGAGGAAAACCTTTTGACTGCGAAAATGTGAATTTTTGCCGCTTATTTCATACTGAGAGGTCGTGACACATATTGATTTTCTACCCTTTTTAAATGTAAAGTAGTTCACTGTGGCTGATCAAAAGGGTTTTAGGTTGTTTAAGTTCTCCAAAGTGCATCCTGGATCTGAATAATTCTAATGCAGCCACTTTCGTTTTGTCCATGAATGTCACTTTTTCCTGCAATGTTTTGTCACGCTGGGCCCAGCTCCTTAGTGCTTTTAGCAGGACGATTATAAATTCTCACGGATAGTGATTTACAGATCCAGATCTCGAAGAAAAAGAAGTGGCATGAATTGTAGCTTAAACTGATGCTACATCAACTATGGAGAATTGCGATGTGACTCAGTCATGATTGCTCTAAAAGCAATGAATTCTTAACTCCAGCTTGTTTTTCTAAGGGTGTTGTGAGTCTTTGTACTAGAGCGCATAATTCCTTCCTTGGTGATAACTTTTGAATTAGCTTAATTTAACAGTCTTGCGACTGCACATGTGCAAGCAGAGTGTACGTCATGTAAGCACAACTGAATATTTCTGATCAATCGTGAGCATTGGTCGACAGCGTCTCGTCAAATCTTTTTTTGGCACTATTTCTGTTTTTGAGTGTCCATGGACCTGGTGCAAAACCTTATAAAACTAAAAAAAACTGGTCCATGACAGGGGGTCCATGGACCCGGTCCAAAGAGGGGGTCCATGGACCCCTGGTCCATGTTTTGTTCTCACCCGATCAAGCTTACATTGCTATCTTACGTGACTTATACAATGGAGCCATCTCTGTTCTGAAACTCCACAGGGACAGTGCCAAATCAAGCTGGAGAGGGGTGCAAGACAGGGTGACAATAAACTTTTCACAGCAGGTCTCCAAGATGCTATAACAAAGAGTATCGACAGGAAAGGTAGAGGCCTAAACATCGACGTTGAATACCTCTCCCATCTTATTTTCGCTAATGATATCACCTTGTTTGCCAAATCACCAGAGGAGCTTACCAGTATGCTCACTGACATTCATGATACAAGCAAACCAGCCGGCCTCAATTGCATCTTGGCAAGACCAAGGTAATGTTCGATGAGCACGCGAAAAAGTGTACAATTACTGTTAATGGAGAAACCATCAAGGAGTTTGATAGTTACGTATACCTAGGAAAGACGGTGACGAAAGATGATGACCTGCTTCCTGAGATTGGGAAGAGGATCACACTTGGTTGGGCAGCCTTTGGTAAAGTAGATAACATCATGAGAAGCCGCAAAGCAAGCATGAAGATAAAGAGGAAGATACACGACGAGTACATTTTACCAGTAATGACATATGGTTGCGAGACATGGGCGCTTAACAACGCTATGATGGATAAGCTTGCAGTCGCACAGCGTAAGATGGAACGCATAATGCTAGGCATTACCCTTCGAGATCGAAAGCGAAACACCTGGATCCGTCAAGAAACTGACGTTAGCGACACCATCAAAGCTATCAGTAGGCAGCTATCAGCTATCAGCAAGCAAAACCTAGATGGACAGGTCAAATTGCCCGGCTATCTGAGCAACAGAATGGACCCCAAGAGATTGGACCAGAAAACAGGGACGTCCAAAAAAAGATGGAGAGACAATCTCACCACACAGATCCTTATGACCCTTATGATCAAGATTGGCTAAGCACAGACACTTGTGGGATCGATTCAGGCAGGGGTTCCTCTTTCAAGAGTGAACACAAACGCTGGTGCTGATGATGATGACGATGACGACCACGATGATGATAGCAGGCTTGCTAAGCTAGCGAAATTCGTTAGAGTACTGACACTCAAACCGGTACACTTGGAGGAAGATTGCCCAATCACAACGTTTTCAGGAAAAAAAAAAAAAACTTTTTTGCAAACGGACCAATAACAATTATAAATTTAAGGGCTGTTTCCCGAGAGGTCGGGTCAGTTTAAACGTTTTTCAAATTTTAAACGGTTGCATAGTTGAATACTATAATTTTATTGGTCCTTTTGCAAAAAAACTTGAGAATCTTTTGTGATTGGACAATCTAATTCCAAGTGTCCCGGTTTGAGTGTCTGCACTGTGACAAATAGATTCCCTAACCTGTTGCGTGTTAAGTAAGTCCCAGTTCAAACGTCGAACTTTTCATGTACCGAACTTAATACCTATTTGGGCCGACCCAACTGATGTAAATTCGACGGCTGATTCAGACTTCGAACTTAACTCGTTGAACTCAATTCATTTCTACGAAGTGCAATGGTCTACAATGTCTACTAGTGAAAATAAATTACAGTAATTTACGCATTAGGTTCGGCACATGAACCTTTCGACGTCTGACCTGGGACAGAGACGTCAAAATGTGTTAAGAAGAAATGTCAAGGGAAACTGCCATATGACCTGCCAGCGAGAAGACTGAATGAGCTGCGGTGAGAAGATTAAGTGAGCCCTTTATTGTTTAGACACAAAAAATTTATTAGTCTCTATAATAGTCACAATAAAATTGTATCTCGTAACTCATTACATCACTCTCTCTCCTTAAAATTACTTGACTTGTTCTGTGAGTTATTGGTTCAATTAAGAATTAAGGCTTCTGGTTATCTGTAAATGACAAAGGAAAAGTACAATAACTTGATAAAAAGTTTCTTTCAATTTAGGGACTTTTTAATCTAATTCGATTGAAGGGTTTAAAAAACCCAAATACCAAGAACCATTCAGCAAGCTCATTAATGAATAATTTCAGGCTTTAAAACTTAAAATTATCACTAATTAATCTTCCTTTCCAGTTTAATCAAGTTATTTATTTATTTATTTATTTATTTCAGCATGCCAACCTAAAAAAAACCTTTTTTGCTTAAGTTAATCATGTTGCAAACGCTTTTACAGCTCAAAACTATCATTTATTTCACCTAACTCAATTTCTCATAACTTAATTTAATGGACATATTACATTAGGAAACAATTAGGGATGCAAAAAACAGGTAGCTTTTCGAGGTCAACGATGTTGTCCGGTAGAATTTCACAAATCAATGAGTAAAACTCACTTTCATTCTAACCACCACAGCTCTCGGTCACTTCATGTAAACGCTATAATATTCATTTGCAAGCACATTTCTCATCAAATACCGAAAAATGAATGTATCTACATATTCTCCTAATAGGCGCTGCTTCCCGTTTCGTTGGATTGCAAATGAAATTGTAACGAAGAAAAAAGGTTTAACGGAACCGCTACCTAAGAAAGTAGCTATTTCCTCTCAAAAGCACACCAGTCTCTTACCTATCAAGGCACTGTGCCAGGTGGAAGTCCAGACATGACATTTATCTTGACCTGATTTTTAGCCGAGCCGTATTGACTTACTGCAGAGCACTCGTAAGTGCCAGCGTCATCGAGGACCGCTCTATCGATCACGTATTCCACACCAGAAAGCCTCTGGTCCAGATCATAAATTTTGTTTATGGTAAGACGATCTGCAGAAGGAAGTGACCCTGGAAGGAGATAACATTTTCGTTAATTGCATGAGCGTAGATGTTATTGTTCACTCTTTTCCTCGGTTTAAATGTTATATACGCAATAGCGGAGCCTCCGCGAGCGCGCCTATGGCTATGAGATATCGATCCGAGAAAACTTCGTTATGACGTCTAGTGAGCATATGTTTAGTGGTTTTTAAGGGGCAGGGGAAGAAACGGATTTGACACCTCATTAAGTACGTTTTTAAAAGGAAATTTTTGTACTTAGAAAGGTTTCAGAGACGTTTTGTACATTTTGACATCAGCGTGAAAGAAAAACTACAAAATGTACCCAAATTGAAACTGATTTTATGTTGCATTTTGGCATGTTCTCAGCCGATTTTACTTGCGTGGACGGATCAAGAACCAGTTAGCGTTACGCAAATTGCAATTAAGGATTAACTTACATGTTTTTTGATTAAAAATTTTCAAGAAATAATTTATCTGTTTATTGTTCATTGGTAACATTAGCTCAAAACACGTTCTTGAGACTGCAGATCGCGAGATTTTAATTTAGAAACAGTTCAGGCGGGCTACTCATTGCCTTTTGAATAAAACTGAAGTGTTGTTATTCAGTACATGCTCCGTTGAATTTTTAGTCATTATTTTATTGATTACTAGCCACTCAATAATTTTGCATTGTGCTACTTTTTCCCCATAACTCATGCCCTGAATACCTTATGAATGAAGTTTGATGCGTTTGTTTACTTTTTCAATCCTTGCTGAAAAAAGTATCTAAAATATGAAAGAGTTCTCCTTTCTTTTAACGACAGACTCTTCGGCTTTTCGAAAAAAAGTTTTAAGTTGTTGTAACGTTTATAATTTGTAGTGTATTAAAGTCTATCGCACGTTGCTCAATGAATGCACCGCACAACACCTGAACACGTACCGCACAGTTTCTGTAGGTTAAGAATTATAGTAGGTTAACGAGTTATAGTTGGTAGCGGAATAGGTTATTATGTCTGCCCTCAAACAAAATAAACGCCTCGCCGTACAGGCTACACATAACTGTTCGTCCGCACCCAATAAGAAAACACATAATAAGCTTACCGGGACACAAAAGTGGTCCTGATTCTCGCCTTAAAGACAGAAATACTGACCCCAGGAATTGTAACAAGTAAATTGCTACTACTGGAAGAGACCTACAACTTCGCAAAGGGGTGTAGTGGCGGGGGGAGTTGATGATGTATACGTAGTTTGGACGAATTCTACTACTGTGATTGAACTTGATGCATAGTGATTTTTTTGCGGTAAATATGCGACTTTCAGCTTGCTGGGAGAGTTTTTCATTCTACGTGTGTTTGCGGGATATTTTTTCTTAATCATTTAACGCCACCCTCTAAAGGTAAATTGATGCCAAAGGCTCCTAAAGTTAAGTAGGGATTTGAAGATTTTTTTAGTGGCTTAGAGCTTGTTACAGTGGAACCTCTAGTCAGGGGACACCCTCGGGACTGAGTCAAGTATCCCCTGAAGGGAGGTTGGGCTTGGGTTTGTTAAGAATTTACCAACAAATAAAATATTATTGAAAATGAAGAAATGATCGTCGCAGTGAACGCAATTTATGCAATTGCATAAAGAAGCCTGAAAAAATCAGGACTTCAACGGGGTTTGAACCCGTGACCTCGCGATACCGGTGCGATACTCTACCAACTGAGCTATGAAGCCACTGACGTTGGGAGCAGGTCAATTGTGGGTTCATATGTTCCCGTGAAAGAAATGAGTGTTAATGATATATGAAATAAATCATATATGAACGGCGGAAATGAAATGAAAATGAAGAAATGATCGTCGCAGTGAACGCAATTTATGCAATTGCGTAAAGAAGCCTGAAAAAAATTCAGAACTTTAACGGGGTTTGAACCGATACCGGTGCGATGCTCTACCAACTGAGCTATGATTAGAGCCGAAAAAGACGTCTGCTCTTGCAGACTATGGAATCTGCTGCAGTCATTATTTCAAGCAACTAGATAGTGTATAACAAATTATGATTAACTTCTCTGCGATGTTATGTGTTGAATTCCCACAACTGCAGTACATTGATTGAGGTGAGTTAATTCACGTTTTGAAAGCCGTAGCCATGGTGACTAGTGAACACAATTTTATCGACGATTTTTGTGGTGAGTCACTTTTGACGTACTTTTGATTACTTAGGTGTCCCCTGAATGGAGGTTAAACCCAGGTTTCGGGACCCAGAAAAAGTATCCCTTTCCCCTGAATAGAGGTGTCCCTTCAATAAAGGTAATAAATACAAAGATTATGTGAACATTTCTTTAGGACCAAATCATGTGTCGCCGGAATAGAGGTGTCCCTTTAATAGAGGTATCCCAAGGAAGAGGTACATCAACATGGCCGCCGTTTCATTGTTTTGGAACACCAATATGGCCGTCATAACGTCATGTGAAAATGCTCTATAAACGGAAGCTTCACTTTAGCTTTGTCTAAATCTATATATTATATTATCTGAAGTATCCCGACCGGATCCGAGAGGCCGGGAGAGAGGGACGAGAATTTACAAGCATTAAAATGACTTAAGAAAGTTAGAAGTCTTACCTCCAACTTTTCTCCACTCTACGCTCGGTGTGGGATCGCCTTCGATGTAGCACGTAAGTGTTATGGTATAGTTTTCGTATACTGTGTATTCCGAGGACGGAATGATTGCCGTAATGCGAACAGGAGCTAATTGGTAGGGAATAATTTAGTGAGAAGTGTAAGAAACATCACACAATAGCCTATACATGACAATTACACAAGAAACAAATCAACTATCAAAAAGGCAAAGCGTGCAAAGAGTGTAAGACAGGCAATATGTAAGTGGGAAAGAAAAATCAATCACTGAATGTTGCTAATAAAGCGTTTTCACTCTCGTGGCATTGATTTCCTAACTTTCAAAAATTTTCTATGTTTAAAAGAAAAAAAATCATTTCTCGGGTAAATCACATATTTTGTTCTTGGCAGAAAAAATGGTGACCAGTTTGGAACGCGTGTTTACCAAGGAGAATTTCTACGTGGGTCTCATCCTCGGAGACCCAGGGGTAGTCAATCGGGTCGGAAGAAAAGGCGGGACGAAAGTTTTCAAATACGGGCGAAAGAGCCCCTGGGTACCGACTCTCAC